GACACCTCATGATCACATAGGCTGGTATGCTTCTTCCATGTGGGCTTTGTTGTTTCTGAGCTAGATGGTGCTTGTTTATCTTCAAGCCCTTAAGACCCCAGACGCTATAGCCGGGCACCATCAGCTTTCTTCACCACATTTGCTTATGCACCCATTTTGTCTTCAGCAATCATGTCGGGAAGGTGAGCATCACAGAATGCTGGATTGTTAGAACAAAGTGTTCTTGTGTTGAGGGAGTACCTGAGTCGAGATCCAATGTCCATCTACAACCTTAATTCTTAACATATAGATATGAGTACATAGTTGTTCCCCTTATTATATATATATTTACATATGTAAATGCCTGTATTTAGACTTCCATACATGTCCTTTGCCTCCTGCTTCTTTCCTCTATTTCCTTTTACTTTCCTCCTGTCCCACCATCATGTTCAGTCTTCATTCGGGTTTAGTGATACCTTGCTGCTACATTGCCCTTGATTAAGCCCCACTAGGCATCCTACACCTTTCTTTCCATTGATTTTAGTTCACTTGTTCCAAGGAATCCTTTCTTGAACATACTTAAAAGTATGCTCATCTCTGCTTAAAGGCCCCCTCCTCTTTATTCCTTAACAGTTTTATTTTCTTCAGAGTATTTGTCATAATTCATAATAGTATTTAGTGATTATCTTCTAAATTTGTCCCTCTCACCCCTACTTGCTGTAAGCCGCTTGAAGACAGGAATGCCTGGCTGTATGCATTCTTGGTGCCAGGCACAGTATATGTCCAACAAATACTTGATAAAGGAATGGATGATTTAAAAAAAAGCATTTTACTGGGGGCTTGTACAACTCTTAACACATTCCATACAAACGAATGATGTTTTCTTTATGAATTTTTTTGGGGGAAAAAGCCCAAACCAAAAAACCCAAAACACCTAGAATTAGTCCAAAGTTGTTTTGATGAAAAATTGTTTGCATATAACATCCAAACCCACTGCTGTGGGTTAGCGACCTTCTAGAGTAGAGTAAGGAGCTCCGTGGCTTAGGTGGATTATGTCATGAGCTGCTAACCACAATGCCAGAAGTTTGAAACCACCAGTGGCTCCTTGAGAGAACAGTGAGGCCTTCTGCTCCCATGAAGATGGATAGCCCTGGAGACCCACAGGGGAAGTTCTTCTCTTCCCTGGGGCCACTCTGAATCAGAATGGACTCCACAGCAGTGAGGGTAAGGTCCGAGAAGAACCACTCCATAGGGTTACTGAGCCATCAGTCTTTATGGGAGCAGAAAGCTCTGTCTTTCTTGCCACGAACAGCTGGTGGTTTGAACTACCTATAAGCCCCATGAGGGGCTTGCAATTAGCAGCCCAGTGCCTATCCCAAGGTACTGAGTGGAGTCCTTCAGTACCTTATAGATACGTTCCTAATTCAAAGGTTGCTAGATTGGATTTACCCATGGGTGCTGTGGAAGAAAGGCTTGCCAATCTACTTGGACCCCTAAGTCATGGGAAAATCCTATGGAGTTCAGTTCTACTTTGAAACATACAAGGCTGTCATGAACTGGAATTGACAGCTGCTACTGAGGAGTTTGGAGTTTGGAGCCCATGTGGCGTAGTGATTATGCATTGGGCTCTGATCTGAAACCACCAATGCTCATCAGGAGAAAGATTGGGGTTTCTACTCCTGAAGAGTTAGAGTTTTGGAAACTCAGAGGACAGTTTCACCTTGCCCATAGGTCATAATGCCTTGGCATTGGTTTGATGGCAGTGTTTAGTTGATTGGTAGTTAGGAGTTAGGCTGGTAACTGCAAGGCTAGCAGTTCAAAACCACCAGCCACTCTGAGGGAGAAAGACTGGACTTTCTACTCCTGTAAAGAGTTGCAGTCTTGGACACTCACAGGCGCAGTTCTACTTTGTCCTACAGGGTTGCTGAGTTGGGATCAACTTGATGGGAGTGATTGTTTTTTTATAGTTAATTTATGGTACACAAATTAGAGACATGTCTGTATTATTTAGCCATGCCTACCCTGGGGTACCCCTCAAAACCTGGAATTTTCCAAAGCTATCTATTTAAATATTTTTACAAAACAACTTTGTTTCCTTCAAAGTACTCTCCATTATACATTTGTCAAATCTGCTATTCCATTCTTGGAAAAATTTTTCAAACTCATCTATTTGGATGGCTGACAGAAATACCATGTTTTTTCTTCACGTCTTCTAAGTTGTCAGATCCTGTCCTTTCAAGTCCCTCTTCGTTTGCAGAAAGAAAAGGAAGTCTCAAGGAGTGAGGTCAGGTGAATAAGGTGCATGAGGCAAGAGAGGCACGCTGTTTTTTCCCCCAAACTGGCACACTGAGATGGCTGCCTGAGCAGGTACATTGTCGTGGTAGCAAAACCAGCCCCGTCTGCCACAAATCAGGCCTTTTTTGTCACACACTTAGGCTATCTTTTCAGAACCTCTAAGTAGAAAGCCTGATTAATAGTCTGACCTGGTGGAATGAACTCTAAATGCACATTTTTGTCCATTTGGAAAGTTGATAGACATCCAGAATGAAGTTTGTCATCAATTTCACCTGTTTTTGAAATGAGAAAACCACTTGTACTTGAGTTTCTCCCATAGCACTGTCTTTGTAAGCTGTGTTCAACAGCACAACAGTTTCTGGGGCATTTTTCTTTAGCAGGAAACAAAAATTAACAGCCACACACTGTTCTCTTAAATCAGCCCTCACAAAAAAACGAGGTTCAAATGAAACTGTTTTTATGGGGGGGGAAAAAAAATCACT